AAAAAACCCCAAAAAACAAAATAACAAAAAACAAACAAAAAAAAAAACCAAAAAAACCAAAAACCTCACCTCAACACTAAGGTCTCAGAGGATGGGGGATTGATGGGACACACAGGCTCCAGCAGACACCATTAGCCCTAGGGAAATGCTACACTACCCTGGGGGAAAGACTTACATTTGAGTTGAGACAGTCGATGCAGGATCGTACCCCATTGTGACCACTTTTAAGACAAAACCCAGAAAGAACAAGTGTCAGAAATTCATTAGAGGAAAGGGCAGGGACGGGGCAAGGAAAAGACAGAGTGGGAAGATGAGGAGACTCAAGGACAATATAACTTCTTCCATGACAGTACAAAAGATGCGTAAGCCTCATGCCCTCTCTAACATCTCTAAGGAAATATGGCAGTGATTAGCATACTCATTTTACCAATGGGAAAATTGGGGTCAACACTCACAGGGCCAAGTATTTCCTTCCTTGGCCCCAACATGGGAATCTTTTGGGGGTGGCAAGGATCTCTGAGGACCCTGGCTCCCTCACCGTGCACTGCCCCCCAGCTTCATGGCTAGCTTCCCCAGTGGCTTGTCCAATTCGTCATGCACCAAGTAGATGTCTTCGGCTGCCAGCTGATACATCTTGGCTTCCCAGAGAAACAAGAGTGAGATGGATGAGGGAGGACGCAGAGAACCAGGATTCACTCTATACCTCCTCCCCATCAGCTAAAACAATACAGTACTCATTAGCCTTTGCCATGAAGTTATCTCTAGGGAGAAAACCAGCATTTAATAAATGTTTAGGGGACAGAAGCTAGGGAACCAGAACCAAGTGCCAGCAATCCCTCCTCCCCCAAGGCTGGGCAGGGGGAGCCCTACCAATCCCTGATCTCTCACCAGCCTGGGCCACACTGCGCCCATTGACATTCATGAATTGGCAGGGTTTGAGAAGCACCAGCTCAGCCTCTCCAAAGCGGGTGATGGCCACATCTGCACAGCACTGACGCTGTCTCTTCCACTGGTCAGCTACATTCAGGTGCTTGGCCAGCTGGTTCAGCACAGCCATGCCCACACTGTGCCGTGTGCCCTGCAACCTGTAGTTGCCCAGGCCAGCCACCTGTGAGTCAAAGAAGAACTGGGCTACCCTTCGCTTCCTCACTACCCACCCACATTCTCTTGAACTCCCCGAAGTTGGGCTTCCTCCCACCCCTCTACTGAAACTGTTCTAAGGTTACCATTAAGCTAATCAAATCCAAAGGCTTTCCCTCTGCCCCAGGCCTCATTCTCCTAGACCTCTCCCTATTCCTTCTGGCACTGCTGACTAGTCCGACTGCTCTATTACCCCAAATCCTATTGACTTTACCTTTCTAACATTTATGGTCTCTTCTCTGACACTGCTACCTCATCACCTCTCACCTGGACTACTGCAATAGCCTTCTGGTTGACCTCTTTGCCTCAGTGTCTTGCTCCTCCCATCCATCTCCATTCAGCTGTCCAATTAATCTTCCTAAAGAACAGGTCTGACCATGTCACGTCCCTATTCAATAAACTCTAGTGGCTCACTCTCACCTCTAGTATCGAATATAAAAATCCTCTGGCACTCAAAGCTCTTCACGACCTGGCCCCTTCCTACCTTTCCTCTTCTTACTCCCCTCAAAGTACTCTGGTGATCCAGTGACACTGGCCTTCTTGCTGCTCCCCCCACAAGACACTGCACCTCCTTAGGACTGGAATGCTCTGCCTCCTCATCTCAGCTTTCTGGCTTCCTTGACTTCCTTCAAGTCTGAGCTAAAACTCCATCTATGAGAAGCCTTTCCTGATCCCTCGTATATGTATTGGATATATCTTGTTTATACATAGGTGTTTTCATGTCAGCTCCCATGTCAGACTGTGAGTTCCCTGAGATCAGGGGCTATATTTTTCCTTTTCTTCACCACGAACTTAGCACAGTGCCCGGTACACAGTAGGTGCTTAATAAATGCTTACTGCCTGCCTACTTTAGTTATCACACTCTCCTGGGTCTTCCTCCAGTCTAACTGTTCCTCCTCTTCCCACAAGGTTTCTTATGCTCTTCCTATGTCCCTAACACTAACATTCCCCAAGATGGGGGACCCTTTATTTTTATACTTTCTTCACAATTTCCTCTGGTGACCGCTCCACAACCACCTCTAGACAGATAATTCCCAGATCTGTACTTTCAGCCCTGACCTCTCTCTTTTTGAGCACTGCTAATTCCTGCCAGCCCATCTCCACCTGGATGTCCCAAAGGCACCTCAAATCAACATCTCCAGAAATGACCTCATTGTATCTTTTCCCAAAAACCTATTCTGACCTCCTCACTTGATGGCACTTGTAGCACCACTCAGCCAGCTGAGCATAACCTGTGGGCTTCTCTTTGACTCTGACCTCTCACAATTAATCAGGTAACAGGCTCTGTTGACAACTTCTTCAAATCATCTCTGGAAGTCTTTTTTTTTTTTCCTATTCCTATTGGTATCATTGTCAGATCCTTATCACCACTTGCCTGGTGTATCACAGCAGCTTCAGATCTTTCTCTCTCTCTCTTCCCTGCTCTAATCCATCCTATTTAATATCACCTAATTAATATTTCTCATCCAGAGATTTCTTCTGATCAATTTTCTGCTCAAAAATGTTCAGTGGTTCTCTATTACCTGGTGAGTAATATTTAAACCCTTCAATGTCTAGCTAGTATTCAAGAATCTTCTCAACCTGGCATCACCCTCCTTTTCTAGCCTCATCTCATTTTTCTCCCTTCTTTCACAACCAGTTAAAAAAACACTCTGCTCCACATCCTCTCATGCCTCTATGTCTTTGCTTAACCAGTCCCTCATTCCTGGCATATCATCCCTCCCTCTCTTCACCTATTGGTACTCTTTTTTGAAATTAAATAAAGCCTTCTTGAAGCTGACAATGACCCCTGGACCTCACAAAGCATTTTGTTAGTCTTTAATAATATATATTATTAGATAGTATAGCTACAATATGCACTATTACATGAGATACGATTCATATCCTATCCTAGCAGGCTATAGAGGGCCTTAACCTTTTTTTTTTTTTTTTTTTGGGCTGTCATGGACCCCTTTGGTGACCCTTATGGCTTTTTCATAATTTTTAAAAATTAATAATTGAAATAAATGCCAGATTTCATTTAGAGATGAGTTAAATTAGAGCGGTCTTTCTCCGTCCCCAAACAAATTCATGGGTCCCCAGATTAAAAACCTGCTTTAGTGCAAGGCTCATGGCTCACCCAAACTTTTTACTCAGCGAGTTTTTTTCTGTACCCATCAGACACTCATCTCATAAATGTGAGACCAAAGTAAGCCTCCTCTCGAATCCCCCACCCCCACCCGCCCCATCCCCGGGGTGGAAGAGTACACAAAAGTGGAGGCAGAGGACCCAGGTTCAAATCCAGTTTCTGCCAATGACTACTCGTGAGTCTTTAGGCAAGTCACTGGACTTGGAGGTTGGGGGGCTCAGTTTCCTTAACTGTAAAGCGGACTCCGGAGTCCCCTCCAGTTCTCCCTACGGTCCCCCGGCCACACAGGGGGATGGGGCCCGGGCATGGCAGGCTCCCGGCGCGGCTGGGGCTCGGGTGTGCCTTTAACCCCACCCCTCCTCTCGTACCCCCCGGCCCCATCTCCCTCCAGCCCGGGAAGCTTCCCGGCCTCCCCCGCACACTCACCAGCCACCTCTTCCCAGGAGGCCGCGGTTCGAGGCCGGCTCGGCTCATCCCCCGGCTCAGCCGGCTCCACAAGAGCCCGAGTCCCGAGCGAGTCATGTCTTCTTCCCGCACCAACTCCTCTTACTCACAGGCGGCCACCATTCACCGCGAGGATCCCGCCCCTCGACGTCAGCGCGGCAAGCGACCAATTACGGCCTCGCCCCGTCCCTCCTCTCCGAGATTACCTCCCCCTCCCTTCCTCCCCCGGGGGCAGTCCGGAGGGGGCGCGGGCGGCGCCTGCGCACTGTCCTCGTCGGCCCTGCGCGCGGGCGCTGGTCCGCAAGGGGGAGGCAGGGGGCGTGTTTCTGGGAGGCGGAAGCGGTGGAAGGTCAGCGACTGTGCGAGTGTCCGTCCATACTGTGGGATGGCATCTCCGGGAGAGGGGTGGTCCTGGCCCAGCGCCAGGCGGCCGCCCGCGCACGCCCCAGGAGATCCCAGAAGCAAATTTCCGTCACCAGAAGGTGAAGAGCCGCCGTCCCACGTGTCGTCGTCCTCCGGGGCGCGTGGGAGCGCACACCCCCGGGCGTCCCCTTGGCTCCCCCCGGAGGCGGGGCGGAGGACCTGCACAGGCTATGTGACCTTGGCCAAATCGTACGGCCTGTTTCCTCGGCGTGAGCTCCATGAGGTCCCTTCCATCTCTTAAGAAAGAATCTGGGGACAGGGAAATCTTTCTATTACCCCGTTTTACAGTTAAGGAAATTGAGGCTGAGAAGTCAAGTTTTTTTTTTTTTAAGTGTTCACCCAGTCACTTAAGCCACTGACCGACTTCTCCCCAAACCACCCTTTGGCTCCCATTTCCCCGGCTCTTCAACTACCCCACGATACCTCTAAGCTCTGCCAGCGGCATGTGTTTGCTGGAGGAATATTCCCCCGATAGACTTAGAAGACCTTCGAGGGGTGCCTCAGGGCAGGCACCAGATTTTCCATTTTGACAGTGTACCCCCTGCGCCTAACTTGAACCGGCACTTAGTAGGCGCTTTAAGATGTTTATTGATTCATTGATGCAAACCCTCATTGCAACCCCGGACTGAAATAGTATTTTCTCACTCCCAGTGGGTCTTTAGAATTCTTTAGTAATTCATGAAAATGCAAGATGGAGTCGGGGGGAGTGTGTGTATGTGCCCAACTGAGAAAGACAAATTTAAATCTCTTTTATTATTTTATAAAGGGTGAAACTGAGATATGAAAAGAATGAAGGCTAAAAGGTGTATGTAAAGTGTTCTCCGGGTTAACCTTGCAAGCCGTGTTAGATAGTATTACGTACAAAGGGGTAGAATTCCTGGAAAGCAGAGTCTGGGGCGTGGCCGGCAGGAGGGGCGTGGCCTTCAGTCCTAGGTGCTTAGTTACTAACTGCCCTATAGCGGGGAGACCCTAGTACAGAGAATTGAGGTGGGGTCTTTAATGAGGACAGGGCTTTGGGGACAGTTGTCAAGGATCCTGAGAGCCCAAGAGTTGCCCAAGAAGTGAGCAGCAGGGAAGACAGTGTGGGACCAAGCAAGGTGTCCAAGTCTGGAATCAGGAAACCTGAATTCAGGTTTGTTTCTGCCACTGACCTGGTATAGGAGAGATTCCCTTGCCCCTCTTTACCTCAGTTACCTCCTCTGTAAAGTGAATCACTTGGACTAGCTAGCACTGATCTCTTCCAGCTCTAATATTTTATGATTTGGAAGCTTTGGAAAGGTAGACTAAGGACAGATCATCATCATAAGGCCTTCAGTGCCACGCTAAAGTTCAGATAATGTCAGTCAGGCTCTAAGATTCTCTGGTTCTCAGGGACCACAGCACTATGTCTCTGGCGAAGTTATGTGAGGAAGAGGTAGAGAACCCGATCTTGACTCGGATCCTTGGGACCAGCACTGTTTTCAGGAGACTTGAACACCCAAAATTGTCAATCAGGGGCCTTCTCTTGCCAAACAAGATTGATGAGCAGTAAGTGTGGGCCTCTACCCTCCTCCTTGTTTCCTCCCTGCCCCCAGCCCATATCTCCTGGGGATCCAGATCTCAGGAAACCCTAGGTTCCTTGGGAATCAGGACGCCTAGGTTATAGTCTAAGATTTACTTGCCAGTTGCTGTGTGACCTTAGACACTTTTTCTGTACCTATTTCCTTATCTGTTAAAGGGGATAATACCTTACTTACCAGAAGATACTTCTTACCCCAAATTCTATGATTTTATGATTTCCTCCAGGAAGCCATTTGCCCAGCCCTTCCTTCCCTGAACCCCCATCATGCTAGACTGAGACTGTCCACTTTTGCCCTTTACCTTTTGGTCCTTCTCTGGCCCCCCTCACTCCCAACCTACCTGTCTGCCTGGTCATCTGTCCACAGCTTTCATCATGGGCAAGACGCCATGTCCAAAGGGGAGTGGGAAAAGGCTGTACTCTCCTTCTCCAAAGCCATCAACCTTAATCCCCAGCTGGTGAGAATGGGAGAGAAAGGAGAGAGCAAAAACTCTTTCCTCCCCACAATCCCCTTTGCCATCCCCTCCTAGCCAAGGATTGGGCCACCGGCCTCCCCCAAACCCAAAGGACAAGCACATTTTCTGCCCATTTGCTGTAACTCCCCTTCTTGGTGCCACCCCCATTGGGTCAGTGGATTCCTTGGTATCTTCTACATGGACACTCATTCTCTAACCTGAAAGTCACTTCCCCTTATTGGACTTCAGTTCCACCTCCTGACAAATCCTGTAGTCCTTGTTTAGACTAGAGGATCTCAGAGATCCTTTCTTTATCTGAGATTCAGTGAGCCTGGTGCTTATTTTGCAGGGTGGGCTGGACTAGACTAGACTGGACCACATCAAAACTAGCTCTCCCTGGGTGTCTTCCCTCTCCACCTGCCGCAGGTGGAATCCTATGCGCTTCGGGCTGAGGCCTATCTCCAGCTGTGTGACTTTGCCTCAGCCGCCCAGAACCTTCGAAAGGCTACCTTGTTAGCCCCATACCAGTCCCAGTATATGGAGCGCCTTTGCTTTGTCCTCTATCTGCAGGTGAGTTGCCTATTCCTGCCTAGGGATAGGGAACTGCCTTTTCTCTCCCCTTCCTGAGGGGAGGAGGGCACGCAGGGGTCTCAAGGCTCAGTCTGGGCTGGACTGTCAGTCTGTCTCTGACCATCTGTCTGTTTCTGCCTCATCCTGTTGTGTGCTTATCCCCCCCGGTGGCTCTACCTCTCACTCTTTCCTTCCCACCTCTCTCCTAGTCTGTTTCTTTCTCTCCCATGCCGACATCTGTTTCTTTTTCTCCCCTTTCTTATCTCTTCTCATTTCTGTCTCTGTAACTCTCCTGGCCTCCTCCTCTGTCTCTCCCCATCTGAGTTTTTGTCCCTTTCAATCTGTTTGTCTCTCCCTTGCCTCTTCCTGTCTCCTTTTACATCTCTTACACCTCTCGGGTACATACCCAGCTGTCCTGACAACCTGGGAGGGGGTTTAGAACCATCTGTGGATGCCTGCCTCCCCACCAGGGCCAGTGTCTCTTTGAACAACAATCATACATGAAAGCCTTGGACCTGTTCACCCAAGCTTCAGAGCTGCAGCCTTACAAGCCCTCCTACCGCTTCCGCAGGTGACCCTGGGGCCTTAAGGGCTGGAGGGAGGGGGGCAAGGAATAGGGCTGGGAGGGAAGTCTCCCTCACCTTGGCACCCTCCTTCCACCTCATTCTAGCATAGCTTGCCTTTTGGCCATGAAACGATATCAGGAATGCCTCCAGATGGTCACAAAAGAGTTGAAACAAGATTCCAACCCTGATGTCTACATCCTTCGTGCTCGACTCTATAACTACTTCCTAAAGGTAGAACTCAAACCAACCCCCTCCTCAACAGGCAGGATGGGACCACAATTCAGTCCCTAAACTCAGCTGCACAATTAGGATTGGATGGGAGTGGCACTCAGCCCCCTAAGATTAGGATGGGCAGGGCGTCCAAGGGCCCTGTTGTTCCCAAATCCTTCTGGAAAAGTCAAGGTAATCAATCCCCAGAACCCCAGCTTTCCTCTCAGCCCCACCCCAGCCTCAGCCAGTTCAGAATGTAGACATCTTAAAGGGTAGTAATATCAAATAAGATTAAGCTTTAAATGCCAGGCTGAGGAGTTGTAGTTTGTCCTAAAGGCAAAAGGGAGCCATTGAAGAATTTTGAGTAGGGGAATGACATATAGTCAGACCTGTACTTTAGAGATATTTGACAACTATGTAGAAGAATTCACATCAATAAGCATTTACCAAGTGCCTACTGTGTGCCAGGCACTGTGCTAAGCACTGTGGATAAAAAGAAAGGCAAAAAATAGGATTGGAGCTCACAGTCTAGTAAAGGATTAAAGAGGGAAGAAACTGAGGCTGGCATGTCTAATCAGGAGGTTGTTGCCTTAGGTCTATTAAGAAATGAATAAGACCTGGAATAGAGTGGGAGGCCTTGTGAGCAGGGGAAATGAACAGATCAGAGAGATGCTTTGGAAGTAGAAATGATAAGATTTGGCAACTGAGTGAATGGAGGGGGGCAGGGTGAAGGAGAAGAGAGTCAGGAATGACTCCAAGGTTATAGCTTAACCTTTTCAAGATTTACAGAGCACTTTAATCATCATAATCTTGAGAGAAGTAGAACAAAAACAATCCCCATTTTATAGATGAGGAAACTAAGGCAGAGAGAAACGTGGTGACTTGCCTAGGATCACACAGCTGGAGTCATCCTTGGTCCTCCAGACTTCTGACAAGTCCAGTGATCTTTCCACTGCCTAGTGGAGTATTTCTAAATTACTGTTAGTCAGCAGTGGTCTGAGATGGCTAGAGTTTGCTAGACCAGGGGTCAGGACCCCCCAGATCTATCCCTGCCTGTACCCTGAACTCACAGTGTGACTTTTGGGCAAGCTGCTACTCCCCATTTCTTTCTTTATAAAACCAAGGTGCTGAGACCATCTGGTCTCCAAGGTGTCATCCTTGCCTAACATTCTGATGAATCAGCTCATTGTGATTCTGATTTGCCTCATTCTGAGACCGTGAAGCAAGATGGTACAGAGGCTGGCTAGAATGCTAAGCCAGAAGTTAGCCGAGTTCAAGCACTCCCTCAGATACTAACTGTGTGACCCTGGGCAAGTCACTTAACCTCTCTCTGCCTAAATTTTTAATCTGTAAATTGGATATTATAATAGCACCTACCTTAGAGGGTCATTGTGAGGATTAATAACATATATACAGCACTTTACGGGCAGCTAGGTGGTGCAGTGGATAGAGTGCTGGGCCTGGAGTCAGGAAGACTCATATTTCTGAGTTCAGATCTGGCCTCAGACTCTTACAAGTTGTGTGACCCTGGGCAAGTCATTTAACCCTGTTTGCTTCATTTTCCGCATTTGTAAAATGAGCTGGATAAGGAAATGGCAAACCTCTCCAGTATCTTTGTCAAGAAAACCCCAAATGGGGTCATGAAGAGTCAGACAGGACTGAAAAACAACTGAACAACAACAATAGCACTTTATAACAAAGAGCTATGTAAATGTTAGCTATTATTCTTACCCAGGAGTTGTCAAGGATGAAGCTATGTCTATGACTTGGCCTAGGTGGCATTTTGGTTGGGATGCAAAGGAAACACAACTGGGGTATGGGGAAAACGTCCCTGACCATTCAGGGGAGCAGTCCTAACCTTTGCCCTCCTCTCCACCCCTGCTGCCAGCCAAATCAGTGTTATCAGGATCTGCGCCGGGCTGTCACCCTTAAGCCTCGGCACCCTGAGGCCACCACCCTGCTGGAGAAATTGTTGGCCCAGGCCAGGAAGGCCCGGGAGGAGGCAGTGGTCCTGGCCTTGAAGGGGAACCTGGAGGATTCTTTGATCCGGATCAACTGTGCCATTGAGAACAGCCCAATGGACCCTAGCTACTACTTGTTCAGGTATAATTACAATAGTAATAATAAATGATAAAGAATATATAATAAACAATAAAAGGGGCAGCAAGGTGGCGCAGTGAATAGAATGCTGGGCCTGGAGTAAGGAAAACTTGAGTTCACTTAGCTGTTTGACTCTGGGCAAGTCACTTAACCTTGTTTGTCTCAGTTTCCTCATCTGTAAAATGAGCTGAAGAAGGAAATGGCAAACCACTCCAGTATCCTTACCAAGAAAACCCTCCCCCAAAAAGTGATTATGAAGTCAGATGTGATTGAAAATGACTACATGACAAATAGTGAAGGAAAGAATTACTGACTAGTAGCTAGCATTCACATGTAGCACTTTAATCTTTGTAAAGTCCTTTACAAATATTATTTCAGTCTATCTTCATAATAACCCTGTGAAATAGGTATTATTCCCATTTTGCAGATGAAGAAACTGAGGCAGACAGCAGTCAAGTGAGTTGTCTACATAGCTCATAAGTAGCTGAGGTAGGATTTGAATTCAGGTCTTCCTGACTCCAGGTCCCACTCTTTATCCATTGTACCACCTCACTGCCAGTAACATTTGTTGGCATTTATCTAGTGTTTTATGAAGTCCTTCCTAATTACTTTGTGTTTACCTTGTGTATGCTTTGCATTTACTTATATGTGAGCATGTTATTTTCCCCTGCTCGTTCTCTCTCTCTCTCTCTCTCTCTCTCTCTCCCTCCCTCCACAGAATATAAACACCTTGAGGGCACTGAGTATTTTTTTTTGTCTTTGTATTCCCAGTGGCCAGCACAGTATCTGTAATATAGTAGATACCGGCAAAATAACTCCTTGTTGACTGGTTGACTTAAGGTTTGCCGGGTCTCATTGCCTAGTTTACATAGTCTTACAGCAACTCTATGAGGGTGATGCTACTATTATCCCATTTTACAGAAGAGGAAACTGAGGCTGAGCACTTGCCCGGGGTCACCTGGCTGGTCTGTATCTCAGGCAGGAGTCTTCCTGACTCTAAGTCCAACACTCTGCCCATGGTGCCACAATGGGCCCAAGTATGGACCTAAGAAGCAGTTGTGTGTCATGGGGGCCAGCTCTTGGGTGGGGAGGGGGAACTGAGGAATCAAGATTTGGGATTCCAAAGACCCCGCTGAGGAAACTCAGTACTCTTCCTGGCCAGTTTGTCACAGGAGGCAATGAGGGAGGAGGACCTAGGGTGCATTGCCTAACCATCTCATGGCTGGGGTAGAGGAGGAGAGGGGAGGAAACATGCAGTCACAGTAGAGTTCCTGATCTGGCAGTCAGGAAACTTAGGATCTAGTTGTGGCTTTGCTACTGATGTCCTGTGTGACCATCATCAATAGCCCGAGTTTACATTTCTTCCTGTATAAAATGAGCAGGTCTGGCTTGGTTCCATTCAGTTGAACAGATATTATGTTCTGGGGCGTACCGAGATGAAATATGACATAGTGCCTTCTATCACGAGTCTTAGAGTTCACAGCAGGGTGGAGAAGGTATCCCATCCACAAACAGAATAGGATGGGATGGGGGGAGGGGAAGGGGAGGAGAAGGTGACAAGAGGGACATCACTATCAAAGGTCACTAAGACCCCGTCCAGCTCTGACAAGTTAGGATTCTAAGCCTTTCAGATGGAAAGTTCAGGGCCTGAATCTAGGGACCCGTGGGAGGTGGACGATCGGGCTTGATCCCCTCCCTGTCAGCAGAAGCCGGGGCCTACTAGGGTCAGTGTCCCTGCCACCCATGGGTGAGGTGAGCCAGACCCTCCTGCCTCCTCTCATCCCAGGGGCACTCTGTTTCGGAGGCTCAAAGACTTTGATGCAGCCATTGAAGACTTTCTCAAGTCCCTGGAGCTAAGCCCAGAAGATGAGGAGGATAGTGAGATGGCCAGGCAGGCCCAGCGCCAGCTGCTGCTCACCTACAATGACTTTGCAGTCTTCTGCTATATCAAGGGCGCCTATGAAGAAGGTGTGCTGCTCCTCAATAAGGCCCTACGGGGCGAAAAAAGAGAGAAGGGGATCTACATCAACAGAGGGGGTGAGCTCGTCCTGAGGGTCCTCTTGGGGGGTGGGGGTGGGGTCAGGGGAGGTACCTCACCTTGTATGCTGGGGCATGTGAAGAGCTTCAGAGGATGGAGAGTTGGAAGGGACCTGGGAGGTCCTTGGGTCCCCTGCTCCCATTCTGCATCTTAGCAGCAGCAGAGTGGGGCTCCAGATACGGGTCTGCTAGCCCCAAGTCCAAGTATCTTGTGTGCTGCTGACTGAACTCCTTGGCCTCCAATAGCTAGCTGTATCCCCTCCACATCCCTGTCCTTTCTAGCCAGGCCCATCCCCTCATGTCTCACTCCTGGAGGAGTTCATCCTTACCTCTGCCTTTGCTCATGACTTCCTCCTCTCCTGGAATGCCCTTCCCTCTTCCTTCTGCTTCTCCAAATCCTATCAGTCCTACAAGGTCCAGCTCACATTCTACTTCACCTAGGAAGCCCTCCCCAAGTAAGCCTCGGTTTCCTCCCTCCTCAGAATTATAGTACTTAATGTCACACTGTTGGGGTTTTTAACTGATTGTGTGTGTGTCCCTCCCCACCACTTCCTTCCTGTGGTGTGGAGGGGACAGAACCCTGGGGCTCGAAGGCTGTGCCTGTCATCTGGGGACCAGTCTCGCTAAGCTTTGGAGAGGCTTACGACCAGGGTGGCCCTCTCAAAGACTGTCTTCACTAAGTCACAGAAAGGCTGCAATTTGCATCCATGGAGATGGCCCAAACAATGAAATCACAGATCCAGAGTACTAGTAGTTCACCATTCCTTATCAAAACGTTCATCTTTGGGGGTGAGGTGGGGGATGTGGGGAGATGTGTTTAGAGGGGCAAGAAGGTACCTAGACCCAAAACTTGTGATTCACTGGTATAGTGTACCTTTCCAAGGAGAAAATTCTCTTTGCTAATGTGGATTGGTACCTGCCCTGCAATTTCTAGCTTGGGGCATTGAGAGGTCACCTAGCCAGCATGGGTCAGGGAAGGGATTCAAACCCAGATCGTCCTGCCTCCCAAGGCCAGCTCTTTGTCAGTTTTCTCTTATACATATAGCTTTTCATTATTTGCCTTAATAGAAGGAAGACACATGGACAGTACAAAACAACAGATGATCAAAAAATCAATGGTATTTGGCTTTGGAAATGGGGCTAGGCTCAGACATGTGTGCTCACACATGTTCATAAACCTACAGCCTATACTTGTCCTCTTCTCCAGCTGGATCTGCCCCAGCTCTCTAAGCTTGGATTGAATTTGGGGGACAGCAGAGGGGTTACAAGGTCCCTAAGGATGATTCCTGTGGCCAGTGAAGGGGTAGACAAATTGGGCACTGGGCAGAGGAGAGCAGAATCCCAGCTGGGAGCTAAGTAGAGAATGCCGAAGGGCAGAGACTAGTGAGCGGAGGGACTGACCAGACCTCACCGACCAAGGAGGAGGAGGAGGAGGAGGAGAAGGAAAGTCATGGGGCTGGGGTCAGACAAGGAAACCAGGTGGTTTCCCCCTTCCTCCTCTCTTCCTTCCCTTCTAGATTGTTTCTTCAAGCTTGGAGAGCTGGCCTTTGCCGAGGCCGATTACCTGGAGGCACTGGCGCTGGCCCCCGGGGACCAAGGTGCTCAGTACCGCATTGGAATGCTTCAGGAGAAGCTGGGGCTTCGAGAGCATAAGCTGAGGTGTGTGGGGGCACCTGTAATGATGAGGCTTAAGGAAGAGCCATTGGCCAAAGGGTCTTCACAAGCCTTTTCTCCAGGATGATTCAGTTTGGCACTAGGCTAGCCAGGCAGATACCTGGGCAGACTTTCCAGGGGGCCTGAGCCACTGACTGCACCTGCCAGCTTCCCAGTCTAGTGCCTTCTGGTTGCTTTCAGTTACTGCTTCTTAAGACATGGCAGCCCAGAGCTTGCCTATGTCCCCTTCTCATCCTATGCCCCCACCAGCAAAGGTGCTCAATACCTATTTGGGAAACCTCAGCTTCAGCTTTCTAGTTCAATTTGGATAGCATGCAGGATGTGGAATCAGGAAGACTTGGGTTCAGATCCTCCCTCTTAGACTTACTAGTGTGTGAATATGGACAAGTCATTTATCCACTCTAAGCCTCAGGTTCCTCATGTATAAAATGAGAGGGCTGGACTGGATGGCCTCTGAGGACCCTTTCAGCTCTAAATCTATGGTCTTCTAATTAAGCAGAGTACAAAGCCTTATGTTGGAAGCTGGGAAGACAAAAGATGAAAAATGGCATAATCCCTGCCCTCAAGGAGTTGATAATCTGTTTGCTCATGTGCAGAATGGCTTCTTCTTTTCCTTATCTCCCTCCCAAATCTCTATTTGTCGAAGTTTCTCCTTTTCTTCAAGGTGTCTTCCATGAAGTCTTCACTGAAACTCTCCTAAAATTTCTCTTGGTACTTGATCTCCTTTGCCATTTCATTAACTCCCTCGTGTTATAGTTTATGTATGTACTTGTTTTCCCTGCCCCTCTCACCAACACCATCATTGGATTTCAGATTTCTCAAGAGCAGAGCCTGTGTCATTTCCATCTTTATATCTTTAATGTCTAGCAGAATGCTTTGCATATGGTAGGCAAAATTTTAGTATTTGTTGATTTGTTGAATGGGGGGAATAAAACAAATACACAAATCGAAGCAGTGCTCATTGACTCTTTCCCTTCCCACCAAAATCAGTGTGAGATTAAGAGAGAGAAATATATGAGAAAGGCTTCTGCGCTACAAAAAACTTAGGGACCATTGAGTTGAAAGCAACCCTAGAGATTATCCCATCCAACCCATTCATTTCAGAGAGGAAATAGGCTCAATGAAGGGAAGAGATTTGCTCAGAATTATGGGCAGAGCCATGAGTAGAATCCAGATTTCTCAGCTCTCAATCCCATATGTTTTCTTTTTTCCCCCTTTTAACATGTTTTAATTTTACTTTTTTAATTCTTTATATTACTCCATGTCTCCTCCCGGATCAATAGAGTCCTTCCTTATAACAGATAAGTACAATCAAGCAAAATAGACCAGCATATGGATCAATACATTGACCAAGACTGAAAATCTGTCTCATTATGTACCCATTGTCCTTTACAACATTTTCTGTGCTGCCATTTTAATGTTCCTCTCTCAGCTGTGCATAGACCTAGCAGAAAGATAAACAAAAAGGAGAAAATATTTGAGAGTATTTGAGAAATTAGAGCTGCAAGATTTAAGGTGTTTGCTGAATGGGAACATTAAAGAATATAGATATATTCTCAGTACCACATCATACTTTTAAAAAAATAGACCATGTGCTAAGGGCAAAGAGGATTTATAAATAAATTTAAGAAAGAAATGCTAAACACATCCTTCACAGATTATAGTACAATAAAAATAGTAGGGGTAGCTAGATGGCACAGTAGATAGAGCTCTGGCCTTGGAGTCAGGAGAACCTGAGTTCAAATCCGGCCTTAGACACTTGAAACTTACTAGCTGTGTGACCCTGGGTAAGTCACTTAACTCCAACTGTCTCACCACCCCCCCCCCAAAAAAAGGCAAAAGTAGTAATCAATATAGATAATGCAAACCAAAGATATAGCCCTAAATGAGACTTACTAATAACATCCTAAATAATGAATGTGTAAAAGAACAGATCATAGAATAATAAGACTATATACCACCATTTCTGGGATTCAGCTAAAGGATTCCTCAGAGGAAAAACCATATCTCTGAAAACATATACTAACAAAATATAAAAAGAGAAAATGAAATGAATTTTTCTGTTACATATCAAGTGATGCTGCTACTGATGGTGATTCTAGAACTGAGGGCTAGGAAGGAAGGAGCTGCCTGTCAGGCCTAGCATTTCCTAGTCACACCAGACCTCTTTCAGGCCAGACACATATGGGCTAGGGTTAGTTTTCATACTTGGGTTCAGACGTGGTTCTGCTGGCTTCCACAAAGTTAGATTCTTCCTATTATTTCTAGACAATACCACAAGGCCGAACAACACTTCTCTTCAGCCATTGAGTACAACCCAGAGAAAGCAAACTTATACCTCCTCCGTGCCAGGAACCGCCTAATGCTGCAGGATATCTTTGGGGCTCGTCAAGATGTTGCTACCCTGCTGCTCCTCAACCCCAAACACCCCCAGGTGGGTCCAACCTGGCCCAGTTCAGTGGTATTCAACAAACAAGTCGTTAGGCATTTACTCTGTGCAAGGCACTGTACTTAGCCCTGGGAATACAAAGGCTTTTAAAAAATTATATAATTACCATCCATAAGATGCTTACACTCTGTGGGGGAGGGGGAGAGACATGACCCATATCTAAATAAGTGTAAGAGCAATAAGGAAAAGAAAAGATGGAGGAAAGGTGTTTTGTGAAAATTTGAGGCAGACATTTCACTCCTTCATAGCAATTCTGATTAGTGGGAGAACAAAGGTGGAGACTAGTAGCTAGAATGATTTCATTTCCTATAGATGTTAGATGTCATCCATGGCCACAGAACCTCGGCTGTGCTAGTAACACCTGATTACAAAGGATTGTTCTTTTAATTTCACAAGTTGTGTAGGAAGACTTCAGTTTCCCCAGGCAAGACTTGATCCCAAATCTGGATCTCTCAGTTTACCTTCCCTCTCTTCCTTGCAGCTCATTTCTATGATGGCGAACCTCTTCCCTGGCCACTCTGTAGAGTCTGTGATGAACAGCAAGACAATGATGATGGCTAAAACCATCCTGGAGAGGGCGATGCAGAACCAGCTTTTCCAGTACCCCCAGGATGTCCTGGGGTCAGCTTCATCTCAGGAGACTTACCAGAGGGCAATGCTAGATGGGAAGGTGGTGGTGTAAAAGTGGAGGAGGGAGGAATTAGCTTTCCTAATGAAGAAAACAGGGTCCTAAGCTCACAATTAGGCATCTTTGGAGCATGTATAGACTAAGTAGCTGGGCTAACCCCACCACATTCCATGTTTATTTAGGTGAAATCTGGTTCTAACACCCAGGCCAATCTTGAGTGGGGAAGAGAAGTCCACAAAACTCTGTGGATGACACTGACCTTTCCTTTCCTGCAGGCTCCTGAACAAGGGTGCTTCCACAGAGAAGGATGTGAACAAGAGGCCAGACAACATACCCCCTGCTGAGCAGACGCCTAACTCTGGAGAGACAGGGCTCCCTGACAACATTCCTGTGATTCACACAGCAGGGATCCAGGCAAGGGAAGGGAAGTGGAAAGCCTTGTTCCCCGGGACCTCACACCGTGCAGATTTCAGACCGAGGGAAGGAAGATAACCTCTGTTTCCCAGTTCTGTCATCCTACTAGGATTGAATTGGTAGGGCCACACCATTAAGGCTTCAGGGCTCAGGCCTTATCTTAAGAGAGACATTGATAAACTCCACTAACATCCTACTCTCACCTGGTCATGGTGTGGAGGGACACTGGGCTCTCTGAGTCTGTCTCTGGTAGGGTCTGCCAAACTGGAAAGACTTCAAATATAGGCCCAGCAGAAGCCTTGCTTGCCTGTCGTGCAAGGACTGGTCTAGTTAAGTTTGGAACAGCTCAACCACCAGCTAGCCTATGTGGCACCCTCAAATCACTGCATCTACTAAATCAGAGCTCATTACTAAGTCACAGTTTTACACAGTTACTTTCAACTCCACCTGCATGGGTGGAGTTTAAGCAGACACATTTACAGAATTGGAGATCCTTAACTGGCATGTTCAAAGGAGGGTGGCTAGGGAAGGTCTCAAAAAAACAATGCCATACAGGATTGATTGAAAAGGAAAAGGTTGTTTGGCCTAGAGAAGGCTTAGCTGGGGATGTGGTGGGGAGGATCTTAAAATATCTGAAGGGCTGTCACATGAGGGTATACAGTTTACTCTGGGAGCCATGTTTGAAAGTTATAGGGAGCCTAAATTAAGCTAGACATAAGAACTTCCAAACTATGGGTGCTGTCCAACAATGGAAAATGAGGGAGCGGCCTCTGGCAGAGGCTAGATTGGGGAAGAGGGTTGTTGGAACTAACGAGTCTCCAAGGTCCCTTCCAACTCTAAAATACTGTGATTCCTTAAGGATCAGACGCTGATCAAGAACAGCACAAGGCAAACAGGAACAAGTCAAGAGGAACAGCCTGGAAGCCCCCCAAGGCACCAAGCTTCTCCTGGTAAGTTCTGAACCCGGGTCTTCCTCACTAGGTGGGAGAGAATGAGCCCTGGCTCCCTTCCTTCTGCAACCAGGCGCTTAACAAATTTCTAGCCTTTCAGAGTCACCCCGGATAAGTCACTTCCCCTTTCCAGGCCTCAGTTTCCCTATTTGCAACAGCCACACTCATGTATATAGATAGTACTGTAAGGTGGATGGAGCCCTTCTATCACCACAGGCCTTTCTGCCCGTAGCCAGGCTGGCCCTTAGGCATACTGTTTGCCACCAGGCTTGTACCTGACCTGCCAAAGCATGTGGTCAGTGGACCCTTGGCACAGTCTTGAGTCCCCAGGGACACTCCCAGATCACAGCAGGGCAATGAAATGGAGGCAACTAATAACACATTCGTATGGCACTCTTCAGGTGACAAAGTTTTTTGATCATTTGATCCTTATCACTCAGTGGGAGGCAAGGCAGGGATCCTTACCCCCTTCTACAGATGAAGAAATTGAGGCCCAGAGAAGGGAGATAATCTCAGGTCTGGTGCTATCTCCACTGTGCCACATTATCTCACAAGAAGGGGCATGCTGCAGTGTGGAGGGGGTGGACCTGGGCCCAGAGGACACTGCCAGTGGAACCTGGGACAAATATCTTAACCTCAGTTTCCTCATCTATAAAATGAGGCCATTCGAGATCTCTTCCAACTCTAAATCTACACCTACTCTAAGGGAAGAGGTGCAAGCGTTATCTTTGCTTGACCAATGTGTAAACAGATTCAGAGTAGTTCCAGGCTAGTAAGTGTCAGAACCAGATTTTGAACCCAACAAGCCTCCTAACTTCAAAACCAGTGTGTGCTCTTTGCACTCAGCCATGTGGTAATGGAGGGAGGCTGCACCTGATTCAAAGGGCCTTTCTAGAGCTACCATTTCCATAATCCTGCATCAGCACTCTCTGGAACTGGTGCAGTATCTGTATTTTGAGCTGGCAGTGAGGACTCCTGGGTCTTCCTCTCAGCCCTCTTCTTAACTTATGATGAGAATTCCTGGAAATCAACTCCTTAGGTCAAGCAGGGAAAGTCAAGCTCGAGGGCCCAAAGGACCCCGGATGGTTTGGCTTTCCTGAGGCTAAGGCCTGATTGGAACTATCTCTCTCTTAGGGACTAAGCCAACCACCATCTGCAAGAGGCAGGCCTCTTTCACGTACTTTACTGTCTTCATAGGGCAGACACCCTCCTTGGAGGCCAAGACTGCTGCCACGTAGACCAAAGTGAAGGCTAAAGTACAATGGTCTTTCCCTGAACCAGTGTGTTGACAACCCTGGCTTCTCTTTCCCCAGCCCTAACAGGTGGGCACCATCCATACCCACCCTTGCATTTTTGGGGGGTAAGAGGCAGGTCTGTGAGATAGATGTCTTGTCACCGAAGGAAATCCCTCAGCTCCTTTTCCACCTACCCTGGGCCTCCAGCCTATCTCCATACCCATCAGTTCCTGCTCCAGCCTCCTTCCTGATAGAGCCACCAAGGTTTCTCCAGCCAGAGCAGTAACACCTAGATAGGCTTTCCCTGGTCCCTTAAATAAGCTTATTTTGTATCCTCTCCCTTTACTTCATTACAAAATTAAAAACATTTGAAGTAGGCTTTGTTAAAGAGCAAAGTTTGCAGCCCCACAATCTCCATCTTTGTGCCTGCTGGGGTGGGAAGCTGGGAAGATGGTTGGGTCTTATTAAGTTCTCTGGCTTCCTGGTGTTCCTCCAGGCAATGGGGAGATTGGAATGGGGGAAGGGGAAAGGGAGGGGTGTGTGTGTGTATGTGTGTGTGTGTGTGTAGTCTTCATGAGCCTGGAGAGGAGAACGTGAGCCTCCCAGGGGGTCCTGCAAGCCTCTAGTAGGGGTGGAGGACATGACTGACATATGGTCCCTGAGTCACCCAATCACAGCATCAATTTAAATAAGGCTCAGATTTGGGTTGGGAAAAAGGGAATTGGACTTGGCTCAGATGAAGTTGTATTTCGGCCAGGAGCTTTGGGCTTGGGGGTGTGGGGGAGGTAGAGTTTGGGAGGGGCAGGAAGGCAAGTGAGGCCAAGATGTCCTCAAACCAGCAGAGCAACATCCAAGTCTTCCCTGCCACCATCAGTCTGGAAGGTACCCAAAGTGGCAGAAGCTCAAACTGCGTGTCTGCCCTTAGCCCTCTGCTCCTTGGGCTGTGGGCCTGCCCTGTTTACACCCTCTGGAATGCCTGGGGCAAAGGTCATTCTGCCAGCAGCAAGTCTGGACCAAAGCTCCCCAGCAGAGTCCCTTGATGATACATGGAGTTGGGGGGAGGGCAGAAGGAAATGAGTGGGTCCTGCCCACTCATAGGAAGAGGGTGATTCGAGAAGCAACAGTCTTGCAACCATTGGAAGAAAAAAGCTGCTCCTCCTCAGGGAAGAAGGCAGTGCCATCCAGCACAGCCTGGACTACCTCGTCCTCCTGCTGCTGGGCCAGGCCCAGCTGGGCCAGTTCGTTGATCACGCAGTGCCGGACGTGGTGGCGCTGGAGGGGCAGGAAGGGGACCAGCAAGTCCAAGAGTTGGTCTTCTACAATTCCCGACTGCCAGAAACCATCTGAGGGTGAGGGAGAAGCAGGAAGAGGCCGGGTCAGGACACAAGTCACCAGCTGAGGGTACAGGCCCAGAACACCCCACAGGAAGGGAACCATGATGACTGAACAGGATGATCTACTCTTGGCTTTGAGCTAAAGTTAATGGAGGGCTGAGCTGGGGCCACTTTGGGGAGGGGGGTGGCTTAGGTTCTAGGTCCCCCCTCCTACAACCCTTCAAGGATACAAGAGGGGGAGAGGGGACAGGGAAGATCTGAGACCTGAGTGGCTGGAACTGTTCCAGTTCTAAGTTCTGACTCCCATTCTGGATGGGGCCTCAGGGAAGTGGGGTGAGTGGAAAGATAGGCAAAGGACTCACGCTGGGGGTTGTCCACGATGGCCTTAGAGATGGCGGGTTCTAGATCCCCAAGCTGGAGCTCCTCTCGGTCTCTCCGGGCACGCCAGGCATCCAGTGCTAGCTGATTGATTTGCTCCCCACCAGCATTGCTGGAACCCCAAAGCAGGAAAGGCAGGACATAGATGAGACAGGGGTGGGAGAGAGGGAGGTCTGGCTCTCATCTAACAGTACGTGGACACAACCCAGAACTAGGAAGCAGGACACGTAGGTCTGAAACCGAGCTCTTCCCCAGACTCTTTGAAACATTTGAGGGAAGCATCTTCTCACCTTAAGGCTTCTCTTTAGCCTTAGAGTCATAATCATCAAACCTGTCTGCACAGTCCTTTGGGGCTGACTAAGTACATTTCCGCCCCCTCACAACAACCTTGTGAGGAAGGCAGGGCAAGGGGAGGGGTGTATGAGTGCCATTTTACAGGTGAGGAAACTGAGGCTATTAAAGGTAGTAAGAAATAGCCAAAATCATGCATCAATTTCATTGCAGACCTGGTACCAGAACCCAGTCTTCAGTGTTGCTTTCTATAAAAGGGGATTCTTACTTGTTCCCCCATTTATCTCATGTTACCTCATGTTTCATGAGGATGAAACAGGCGGGCTAATATGGTGCTTGGAGATCTTCAAAGGAGAAACAAATCACTGCAAACAATGATATCTCTATAATCAGGGTTCAAGGGCTCCGAGGCCTCATGAAATTGGTTCTGAGGGGAAGCCCTCATTCAGACTGGGGGGATGACTACTATTCTGTTTGCTTACCAGCACTGACTGTGGGGAGAACAGAACTCAACCCTTCCAGCCCCACCCTACCTGAGGAAGATGAAGATGGCTTTTCGGTAGTTGGTACCATAGACTACCCAGGAAGGTCCCAGGAAGGGACGGAGTACCCCTAACAGGCCTGGGTGCATCTTGTCCACCTCATCAAAGAGGAAGAGGGAGCGGCCACAAGTTGTGAGGTTCCCCAAGATCCACTGCTTCAGGTCACTCTGTAAGAGGAACACGAGGGGGCAAGGTGAGGTAGCATGGACACCAGGGACAAGAAAAGGTTAAATATGGGGTGGGGGAAGGGATGATAAAAAACCAGAGAGAGGTGACCCTTCAGTCTGTCCAGTGTGAGATAGTAACATGCCCTACCCTCAGAGGACAGAAGCTCCCTAGGGCAGGAACCCCAGATCCACCGAGGAGGAGCTGCCTTCACTTGGACGTGACCTTTTGAATGATTTTCCATGGCTGGTGATGAGTTTGTATTGGCTCACACTTTTCCACCAATTATACTACAACCCCTTACCATTTTTGAAAAGTCATTTTTATTTCTCAAAGCTCTTTCATCCTCTCACTTGACTCTTTGGACAAATGGGCAGGCCTTATTCTCCCCATTTCATAGATGGCGAAACTGAGGTAGAAGTGAAGAGACTTGTCCAGGGTCACTTGGCCACATGAACAAGACAGCTGGCCAGGGGAAGCAGTGCAGGCTGTGTTTAAAAGCAAAACCTAAAGCCCAAATTTTTGTCCTTGAACTCACAGGCACTGTGGAGGAACAGGCCACAGATGAGATTGTAGCTTTAGGGCAAGAGGGGAGTTCATAGGTCAGAGGGGATCCTAGCCCCTCTATATATAAGGCAGCTGAAGCCCAGGAAAGATGAGTTACCCAAGGTCACATGGAGTAAGTAGCCGGGCTGGGATTCAAACCTAGGTCTTCTGACTCCAAATTCAGTTTTTTCCATTATACTACTGTCGCATTCAACACCACACCCCTGGGAGTGTTTAATAAGTATTCAAAAACACCAGTCAAATGTCCATTGTGTCACTCCGGTTCAAATTAGATCAGAGAAGGGCAGGCTAATTTACAGGCAGAGTGGAAGGAGACCCAGCTTCTCCCAATTTGCTCTGTGGCCTTAATCCAGCTGATTTCCCATTCTGTCCTTTAGGCCCCCAGCACTCAGCCTGCTCTTGGTGGGAGGAAGGCCTGGGTGGTGAATGGCTTACCTTGTAGTGCTCTATTTGCTCTGCATGGGGGAAGTGGATGACAGGAGAAAAGTGATGCACGTGGGGACTGGCCATCCCGTCTCGGAACAGGTACTGGACCAGCATGGAACTGACATAGGATTTGCCCGTGCCAGTCCAGCCATGGAAGGACATCACCAGGGGTTTGGCTGGCTCAGGATTCTCCACAAAAGCCTTCAGCCCCTTCATTACCAGTTGTCTTACCAGATGCTGCCCGGCCAAGTGCTGGGCCAAATCACACTCTAGGCCTGCAGAGGAAGAAGGAGAGGCTCCAGGTAGGCTGGCAGGGGAGCACTTGGTCCCCATGGGGATCTCTGGTTAAAGGAGGCATTCCAATCCCAGAAAGGGGATCTAATGACCTGGCCCTTCCATGCCCACAGGGACCCCCTGGTCTCACTGGCTCATTCATCTACATAAAAACATAGCCCCTTAGATAATATATCTCAGCCTCCCTGAACTTGGTGGTCACTTAACACCCATCTCCTCCCCAAAATCTTTTTTATATGAACGGCTGCTGAGCCAAATCCCCCTATTCTGTACTTGATAATTTGCTCTTTGGAACCAAGTGTAAGACTTTGCAGTTTCTGTGTAAAATGTCATTTCATTAGTTTTAGCCCATGCTCCTTTTTAGATCCTGACTCTGTCGTCCAGCATGTTGGCCATCCCTGCTAGTTTCATGTTATGCACAAATTTGACAGCTGTCTATATTTGTATATGAGCCACTGATAAGCATGTTGAAGAAAACAGTCTTCCATAGGTCATTAGATACTAGCTTGTCATCAATTAACCAGCTGACCAGCATGTTTTCTCTATACTAGACCTTAAACTCAATGTTTATTACCACCTTTATGGTGCCTGGTTCTCAGAGGCCTAGTATCGCCATCCAAACTCAAAGACTTCTTTCCCTCAAAGCCTCCTGCCAGAAACTCACAGATTAGCTTCTCCTACTAGAGGCTCTCAACACCAGTTAGAGAGGGGGACTCTTTAGTCCCCCTAATTTCTGTGACTCAATTCTAATTTCCCAATCAATCCTAAATCTGAAGAAATTTATTTATGTAGAGCTTTAAAGTTTGCAAAACACTTAATATGATCTCTTTTGAGCCTTATAACAACCCTTTAGGGTAAATGCTACTGTTATGCATGTTTTTTTGTTTTTTGGGGGGATAGAGGAGAGAGGTCTGGATCTATGATTTTATCAGCATAGGAGCTCATCAATGAGTAAACTCCTTCTACCAGCGCAGATCAGCAACACTCTATAACTTGTCTTAGAGAGTTTTCTGGCATACTGTAAAATCTGCATTTTAAGATGAAAAAACAGATTCAGGGAGGTTACATGATTTGCCTTGGGTTATATGGCTAGTGTCAGAGGCAGGATTAGAATTCAAGGCCTTCAGGTGAAGTGGATAGGGCACCGACCCTGGAGCTAGGAGGACCTGAGTTCAAATCCAGCCTCAGACCAGACACTTGACATTTACTAGCTGAGTGCCCCTAGGCAAGTCACTTAACCCCAATTGCCTTAAAAAAAAAAAAAAAAAAAAAGCAAGGCCTTTGGGTTTATCCATTATGATGTGTTTTAGTCTTTTTTTTTTCCCAGTGTTGTCTGACTTTGCAACCCCATTTGGGATTTTATTGGCAAAGATACTGGGGTAGTTTGCCATTTCCTTCTCCAGCTCATTTTACAAATGAGGAACTGAGGCAAACAGAGTTAAGTGACATGTCCAGGGTCATACAGCTAGTGTCTGAGGTTGGATTTGAACTCCCAGGAATGGTGCTCTATCCATTGCATCAACCTAGCTGCCCTATGATATACTGCCTTCATTATAATTCCTGGTTAACTACAACCCTACTTCCAGGAGCTTCACAGCCCTGGTCTCCTCCTCACCTCATTCCAGTCC